TACTAGTACTTCTGTTACTACTACTACTACTGCTGCTGTTACTACTACTTATATTAATTTTTGCTTCTTTTTGCTTTATTTTTCTTATTGTATTGAAATATTCTGCTTGGGGAGAGATGATAGAGTAATTCGAATTCCAGTCGAATCCATTACATTCACTTACGTACTATTAGCCTTGGGAAAGGTATGAAGCCTCTTCTTCTTCCCCATGCTATGGGTAAATAACAGTTCTATAGCTTTGGATGGCAACTGGTCTACCGCAGGAAGAAATGTCAACCTACCGCGGGAAAAATCTGCCACGTCAGTCATGTATCGAAAGATACATGCTCGCCTAAGCGTGTATCACGCATGGCACATGAGTGAGTTTAATCCTCATTGGGTGCCACATACTTTCGGCCTTGTGCCACATCTAAGCTACAATTAAGAAAATCACTATTGAAATCTTTTCCTTCTTCTTGACTGCTGCTTTTATCGTTGCCATCTCATCCTCTTTCTTATTTGTTCATTCCATTTCCTATATCTTCTTTCTTACATACCATATATATTCGAGTATAGTGGTAATTTTTCTAATGGGGGGGCGTCGAACTATGTATAATTAATTTTTTGGAAGACGTTAAAAATCATGCGTTTTCGGTGAACGGATATACTATACACAAGTAAATATTTTTTTTTTTTTTTTTTTACTGGCCGGGTTAAAATTCATGCAAAAATAATTTAGGGTTTGCATGAAGTCGACCTATACACGAGTATATACGTTAAAATTATGCACTGATATCTCCCCAGAATTCCCACTAAACTATTATCCTACTTCCTCATTGCTTTCCGCAGAAAGACGACACACAGACGAATAGATTAAAAAGAAAGAAAGACTAAAATGATACCGTGAATAAGCCGCAATAAATTAGCCACCCTTCCAACCTGCTCCCCCACCCAACATTAAAAATAAGAAGGGAATCTCTTGAAATCTCTTTGTCACGTTTATTCGATGTCAGTGTCAATGTAACATGCAAGATTTAAACGGAAAGTGACGTTATATATAAAACCCTATAAAGTACAAAATAAACTAAAATCTGTTTTATACATAAAACAACGACAAAATGTCAAAGACAAAACTTTTTTTTATCAACTTGTTATATGTATCTATTTTTTTGTTATATTATTCGTGGCATGAAGTATTTAATGCAGCTGGGAACAGACGTCATGATCTTGTCAGTTTTATGATAGAGGCAGGCCAAAATTTGAAGAATAATTCCTTTACTATTGTTGAAACGTTTTCATCTATTTTGGAAAGAAAGATCATCGTGATACTATCTGCGTAGCTGTGAAATGATAGCGACATTTGATTAGCGCTTCTATAAAAAGATCATTGAAAGACAAAGATAGAAAGAAAAACAAACAGGATAAAGAGAAAGATTTAAAATAAAAAGCATAGAGAAGGAAAAAAGAGGGAAAAGAAAAGAAGAGAAAAGAAAAGAAGAAAGGAAAAGAAGAGAGGGGAAAGAAAAGGAGATGGCAAAGATAAGAAGCGAAAAGAAATGTAGAAGGCAAAGAAGAGGGAATGAAAAAGAAGAAGAGAAAAGAAGAGGGGGAAAAGTATAAAGAGGGGAAAGAAAAGAAGGGAAAAGAAAAGGAGAGGGGAAAGAAAAGAAGGGAAAAGAAAAGAAGGGAAAAGAAAAGGAAAGGGGAAATAAAAGAAGGGAAAAGAAAAGTAGAGGGGAAAGAAAAGAAGGGAAAAGAAAAGGAGAGGGGAAAGAAAAGAAGAGTGAATGAAAAGAAGAAGAGAAAAGAAGAAAGGAAAATAAAAGAAGAAAGGAAATGAAAATAAGAAAGGAAAAGAAAAGACGGGGAAAGAAAAGAAGAAGAACAAAGAAAAGAAGAGGTCAAAGAAAAGAAATGAAAAGAAAAGAAGATGGAAAAGAAAAGAAAAAAAAGAAGAAAAAGACGATCATGAATGAGAACAAAGCAGAGGGAAAATTTCCTGCGAGAAGAAAATAAAAAATAAAAGAAAGCAAATAAAAGGTGAAAAAATAAAAAGGGAAGAGGAAGGAAGGAAGGAAGGAAGGAAGGAAGGAACAGAAAATAATTGTGAAATATCAAACGCAGTTTACGAATAAAATATTCAGTCCTGCGTATGACGATAAACTACAACTAATAAAGCGAGCTCAATAACAGCATTGCAGGGAGAGTGAAAGAAAGAAAGAGAAAGAGAGAGGGAGAGAGAGAGGGAGAGAGAGAGAGGGAGAGAGAGAGAGAGAGATTTCAGAGGCAATGTCTTTTCTCATAGTCACCTACGATACATTTTCGAGGCACTCATCATTCCGTGCGTTGACAGCTATGCAGAGTCGCACAAAACGTGACTTCACGTAAACATATCGCTGTTGCCACTGCTGACACGAACTGCCCACCGCCCAGCTGTGCTCTCATTCACTGTTTGGTCTCCGTAAGCATTCGATCAATGTCAATGGTTGCATTTCTTTGGAGATCACCGAGAAATTCAATTCTGTTTCGTACGCACTTACATGTCGGACATTATTTTGCCAGACTGCTACATACAAATTATTTGCGGGAAGGTTCAACTTCTACTTTCATACCACCAAGATTGACTTCAACCATCGGGAGCGAATATAATCGAATAGAAGGCATTACTTTCGGAACAACCCTTGCTCAGTGGATTTAGTGCGCCAGTCAGGTGAACAACCCGAAAGTTTTCAAGGAAGGAACACAATTAAGGAAAGAGAATTAAATACAGAAGAAAAATGGCTTTCATTCATTCTGATCAGTCAGTCAGTTGTGCCATGCGTGATACACGCTTAGGCGATCATTTTTCTTTCGGTACATGACTGACGAGGCAGACTTTTTCCCGCAGTAGGTTGCCATTTCTTTATGCGATAGAACAATAGTCATCCAAGGCTATAGAACCCAATCTGTCCTGCTATTTACCCATAGCTGAGGGGAGAAGAAGAGGATTCATACATTTCCCAAGGGTATTAGCACGTAAGTGAATGTAATGGATTCGACTGGAATTCGAACTCGGCTCTCCGATTCCTCAATTCGAGCCGTTATCCTTTACTTTTCGGTGCTTACATGGCCAAGAAGATTAGATTACCGGGAAAATAGAATAAAATGAGTGGAAACCGTGGGGGTTGTTGTTGTTGTTGTTGTTGCTGTTGCTGTTGCTGTTGTCGTTGTTGCAGTCGTTGTTGCTGTTGTTTTTGTCGTCGTTGTTGTTGTTCTTCTTCTTCTTCTTCGTCTTCTTCTTCTTCGTTTACCACACCTGAAGGTAATTCTAACTTGGGCCCCCATCTACAAGTTTATGGGTTGCTCTCCATTTGCCTATCATTGCCTATCATGCTCTCATTAAACTGTGTGTCATGATGGATGTATTTATATTATATCTTCTTCTATATGATGTGCCCGTTCAAGATGTTGGTGATCATAGCTCTTCACAATTTCCTGTTCTTGCAGCTGTTAATAACACTTGTCCTTTTGCCATCTCCCCCAAAGCCTGCTCTGGCATCCATTTGCCCAAGCTCACCACGTGGGTTGTGCGTTGCTTTTCTCTGGCCCACTTACCTTCAATCTGTCTTGCGAGAAAGAAATTTTCCAATCCCTCTTCTCTCATTATGTGCCGCACAGACCGCAATTGTCTCTTCCTGATGTCAAGTATAAGTGTCCTTTTTGTTGCCCTTGTCTCTGGAACTTCATCATTGCTCACATGTACGGCCCATGGTATCTTCAGTCTTCTTATATAGAACAACATTTCTGTTGCTTCAAGTCTCTTCTTAATCTGTGAGGAGATTGTCCATCGTTCACTGTCATATAGATACTAATATACTGATACAACATAACAGGTCAGTACTTTTTTCTTCGTTTCTAATGGCATTTTTCGGTTTCATAATACTTTGCTCAGCTTCTGGAAGGCATTAGATTAGGCTTCGTACATTTGTTGGCCTGTTGGTCTCTTCAAGAAGAAGAAGAGGAAGAAGAAGAATAATAAGAAGAAGGAGGTGGAGGAGAAGAAGAAAAAGAAGAAGAAGAAGAAGAAGGAGGAGGAGGTGGAGAAGAAGAAGAAGAAGAAGAAGAAGAAGAAGAAGAAGAAGAAGAAGAAGAAGAAGAAGAAGAAAAGAAGAAGAAGTTTTCCCAATGCTGAAACTTCAGAACATGAATATCAATCTCCAAATAATGTTCAGTCCGGGAGATTCGAGCACAGACGATGAGGTCGACAAGATTGCTGAGTAATGTGCCGAACTTTTGATGAGGCTTACTGGCACTTGATTTCCATTAATTACCAGTAGACAACTGATATCAACATTCAAATACATAAAAAATGATAATAAAAACTGATGGTTGCTTCTGATATGTATTAAAAAAAACAATACCTATATATCAAACACGGGCGTCAAGCAAATAAATCTTATTAGGAAGTGAGCGTTACTGCTAAGGAACAACAGAAATGAAGAGAATTGCAGAAGGTAGAAAGAAGGAAAGAAGAAAAAGGATAGATAAGAAAAGAAGCCAAAAGAATCAAAACAAAAAGAAAGAAATAACAAAGAAGAGAAAAAAGAAAAGAAAAGCAGGAAAAAGAATTAAAGCAAAAAAGAAATGAAAAAAGAAAAACGGAAAAGAAAGAAAGAACAAAGAAAAGAAGGAAAAAAACCAAGAAAGAACAAAGAATCGAAAAAGAAAAGAGAAGAAAAATGAATGTAAGCAGAGAGAGAGAGAGAGAGAGAGAGAGAGAGAGAGAGAGAGAGAGAGAGAGAAAGAAAGAAAGAACAAAGAAAATGAAACGAGGGAAAAAGAATTAAAGTAAAACACAAAGAAAGAAAGAACAATGAATCGAAAAAAGAAAAGAAGGAAAATAAATGAAAGCGAAAAAGAGAGAAAGAAAGAAAGAAAGAACAAAGATAATGAAAAGAAGGAAAAGAAATTAAAATAAAAAAAGAAAGAATGAACCCAGAACAAAGAAAAGAAACAACAAAAAAGAAGGACAAAGAATTAAGTCAAAAAAGAAAGAAAGAAAGAAAGAAAGGAAGGAAGCGGGATGGAATTAAATAGAAAATAGGTGAATGGCTTAAAAAAAAAAATATTGGTGGGCACGTGATTCTTTGTTGAATCTTTTGTCAACACCAAAGAAACCTTTTAGATTCCGCCAGTCAATGAGTTCATAAAAAATATTTTGCCAGCACTTTATATTGTTTGCTGTGTACTTACAGGTGCATGTTCTTCGATAAATACAATCGATGTGCTGCTTTTTCTTTCACGACAAATACTTTATTATGACTACATATTAAAAATCGTATCGTGGTTAGTCTATAGCCGGAAAGGTCTAGTGGTTATTCGCCGCAACTAATTAGTTATTAATCATTACCGAAGAGAAATAAAAAAATCTCCAATACGGAAAATGTCTTGAAAATAGCAACGTTTGTTTCATAAGTAGTATGTGGTTAATACCAGAAAATACCATAAATTCAAAACTTAATGTCTTAGAAGAGTTGATGTGTAGAGACTGGATGTACTGGATTCACCCTAAAAGAAACCAAAGTAACCTTTCTACTAAGTATCATCTCAGGACGTGAAATGATTCTGTAACACTAAGGATTGATCTAGAAGCTGTCTTGAAATCGATCAAGTGCAGAATCGGACCTTAAAGGAGGTCGATGGGTGCACTAACAAAAACAATCAAGTGAACCCAGTTGTACGTAAGACAACCGGATAACAGGAAATTATATAAACGTCTGGCCTACGTGGGAAGAGACAGAATCTTCCGCATCCTTGTAAGAGGAAGATCGATAATTTGAAGAAAGACCCTGTTATGTTTTGCATATCTCTCTGCGTAGTATTAGTCGTAGTAAAGTTCTCCGTGTCCTGAATAGCAATCGGGTTTGCTAGGCATAGCCCTTATGTTCGCCAGTTGTTCTCTACTTATACTTGTCTATCTGATTTGCATACGATACTACAGACCCAATACCATTTACCTTCGATTTGACTGACGTTGATTTGACTGAGTTCAGTAATGAATATACAATTATTTTACATCAAACGTAACATTACACATAGTTACATCCCTGTGCATAATAGACTAAAATGTGTATCACTGGTTATTTAAGTATAAATGTAGATCCGACCAATCAAACGAAAGAAGAAACAAAAATTGGATGAGAAGAATTCAGTGTTTTGTTTGCATCAAAATCAGTGTTTTTGTTTTCGATATGACCATGTCATTTATTCTAATGAGAGATTTGCCGTTCTAATTTCTAATTAGTCTATGTTTTATTTTACCTTATTCCATAATGTGGATGTCTGTTCATGACGCTTTACACTGTTTATGTCTTGACCACTTCGGGATTTTTAATCTATCAAACAATAATGGTAGAAAGCGTAAAAAGAAGATAATGACACTTACAGAATCCGTAAGAAACACTTCGCTAGAAATAAAGAAAAGCGTACTGAAGAGTTACGTGATGTCTGTTCTCCCATATGGCACTGAATGCTAGGCAATCTCCTCAAAGATGAAGAAGTGACTTAAAGCAATAGAAATGTGGTTCTACAGAAAAATGCTGAGGATACCATAGACCAAACATGTGAGCAACGACAAGCTTTTTGAGAAAATGGAAACAAAAAGGAAACTAATACTTAACGTCAGAAAGAGACAGTTGAAATTTCTAGGGCACATAATGAGGGCTTGAAAAATTTGATACTCATAGGTCATAATGAATGCAATAGGTGTAGTGGTAAACAACGCATAACCTACTCAGTGAGCTTGATGGCAGAACAGGGTTTAGGGGAGACAAAAAAAAACGCCAAATTTATTAATAGCTAAATATGACAGGAAATTCTGGAGAGCCAATTTAAGTAGGTTCCCTTAGTAGCAGAAGGGTGGATTTTTATCCTTTTTAAATACAGGGAATAGACTAATTCATTTAATATTTCATTTTGTTGCACTAAGGAAAAAGGATTATTTTTATGAGCATTAGCACATATTTTCCTGGCATCAGGCTTTTTATTATATATATATATATATTTATATGTGTGTGTGTGTGTGTGTAAACAGTGACTATTACTGCTGTTGATGCAAGACTCTTCGTTAAGACGAATTGATTTCTCCGGTCACTGGCATGTTTGCCTAAAAATAAATACCTTCACCTTCACATTCATTTCTCAAATTCCCCTTCATTCCTGCCGTGCGCCATGGGTTTGGCGATAAATCTTCGACTGATATTAAATCAGTTGTGTTTCGATCGCAGCGTGAGGTAATCGGATGTCTAGCCACACTGATGAGCTGTGAAACAGCGAAAAAGTTTGTCTGTATATGTCAATATATATATTCTGTATATTCTTTATATATATATATATATATATATATATATATATATATATATAATTTATTATTCGAAAATTATAACATAAATATGTTATAAAATCACTACAAAAATAGCCATTTTGTTTCAATAGTTCTGGTGTCTTACCAAGTAGTGATGTTGAATGTAGAATAAAGAGTCTTAATAGGTTCAAATCAATCAAACACTCCTTACCTACAGACAAACATATACGACCATATATATATATGCATGTATGCACACATAATTTCAATAAAACAAAATAAATAAAATAACATGTATTTTTCTTTTTTCCTCACTAATTTTATAATTTTAAATTTAATATAGATTAAATTTAAATTTTAAAATGGGTAATTTTTAATTTCAAATTTTATCGTATAATTTAATATTTATTAGTTAGAACATTAAAGCATTAAATAATTATTATAACCTTAGTTTGTTGCCAAGTTTTTTGAATTCTCCTATACTTGTATTTTGATTTGTCATTCCAGCTTATGTAACAGCGTTTCCCTTAGAGAGGGGTGTTTGATTGAAACTTTTAAAACCCTTTATTCTACATTCAACATCATCACTTATTAAGACACCAGAAGTGTTGAAGGAAAATGGTTATTTTTGTAGTGATTTTATTACATATGTTATAATTTCCCAATAAATGATTATATTTGCTCTACTCTGTATTGAGCACTCTTTTAAGAATAGTATTTGTTGGTTATTGGGATTTATTCCGTATACACCAATCCTATACTTATATATATATATACATATCTTCTCACGAATTTCTAGATGGACTACTTACTCGTTGAGAGTTTAATTAATAGTTTAAAACGAAAACTTTGACCAGAAAAAAGTTTCTTCTTTTTTTCTATATTCTACAATGTCTAGTACTGAACATTGGTCAGGGATCAATCCATATATCTATGGGAGTCAGTTTAAACTGACAGCTTCTTAAACTCTAAGAAAGAGGAAACTTCACTTAAAAATGGTGGAAATCTTTCATTTGAAATAAAGTAATAATAAATAATAGTAAATAAGAACTTTAACCAAAATGTTCACAGTAAAAAAACGAACGCCGATGATTTAAGATGGCGCCAGAAGAATATGGTTTCAGCCATTTGCATTGTATTGTACTGGATGCGGCAGGGATACTTTCCACATATACCTCACAGAAATATCGCCCACATAATGCTAAGACATTAGTGGCAATGATGCCTTCATCTAGCAAATGTCTTACCATTATGTACGAGGTATATCTGGGAGGTATATCTGGGAGTTATTTCTACCACACACTGTATATCAAAGATTGCTTATTTTTTTTATTTTATTTGCACTGAAGAGAATTTCAATGTTGAAAGCTTGAAAAATGTATTCGAAATGTAAGATCAAGTAAAAATTCTTTATTTCGTTTTGTTGTTTCACTCGAAATGTATTTTTGATTTATTGAAAAATAGATAAAATATATGACATTACAAGAAAGACTGTATCCCACAAAAAAACAAAAAAAAACAAAAAAAACAACAACAAGAAAAAACAAGAAACAACAACAACAACAAGAAAAAACAAATATATAAAACAACCCTCGAGAAATTTCAAAATATCTATGTTGTTCTTTTGCGTGATATTTCGACATTTTGTAATTTTTATTAAAAAAAGAAAGAAGATATTTCTTGACATTTTTCGTTTAGGATTCTTTTTTAGACTGAAATTCTGTTTTCTAGTTCGTTATTTGAAAATATTGTCTCTGTCATCCCCGAATCTATGATGTGTTTGGTAAGAACATTTGCTTTTTTTCATGACGAAGTAAACCTATTTGACTATGAGAAGTGACTGCAATTCTAAATAGCTTTTCATATTTCCAACTTGAATCATAAAGCTTGTATTTAAAAGGTTTGCATCATTGGCCATCCTGTCTTTGCTAAAAATACAAAGATATAGTATATCAGACATGATTATTAGAATCAATTCCAGCTGAAAAACACATAATAATATAATAAGAATACTAGAGATTCAATATCTCTGGCAGCAACGAAACATTCTAGGATTAATTAGACTCTTGGATTTACGAAACCTCAAATAGAAATAGTAGTAGCAGTGAAAGTAGGTGTATGGCTAGCCGACATTGTACATATAAATATAACTTCTCAGCATCTGCTTTCTTAGTGCGCATGCGTAATAGTATCAAAGTAAACGTCACTTAAATCCAATGCTAAATCCTAAAGGACAAAACTCGTCAAACGAAAAAAACATTTCCACTTTGTCATAGATTCGCCACCCCCCCAAAATTTGTTCTTGATATATAAAAATCTATATGTCGTTTCTCCATAAATATAAATATTTTCATTTTTATTTGATTAGCTTTTTTCTTTGGTAGCTCGATTTTACGAATTTAAGCGCGGTATTTGATTCGCAGCAGGGGTTCATCATTTTATAGTTGAAATTGTAAGATGTAAGTTCTATGCTAGCAGTTTTTTCTCTAGTTCTTCTCGCTTGTGAAACATTCTTTCAACTTCTTGTTTTCGAATGAACTTTGATCTTCAAAAATTTAAATGCAATGTTAATCGTTATATTCTATTTTCTTAATTGCTGTTCTTTTATTATTCTCGCTCCTTAAGAATGTTTTTATTTTTCTCATATCATTTCATACACAGCAACCCTTTACCTTGAGTGGTCATTGGGCCTACCTAGTCTTGTGTGTAATAAAGTAATATATATATATATATATATATATATATATATATATATATATATATATATATATATATATAGCGTGCGATGGGTATATTATATAACATGAAAACTGCAAAAAACCTTGTAGTTAATACTCAAAATAACCCCATCAAATCTAAACTGGCGTTGATCAATGAACTGTATCAATTTCACTAGCTAGTACAAAACTTTTTATTTCTTGTCATAAATCAATTACCTATATTGAACATACGACCACCTTCTTGAGTAGACGCCTCACATATAACTTATCAGAACAAAGCTATACGAAATCATTTATCAACTCATAATCTACAAGAGCCCTTATGAAAGATATTAGACGATAACACTAGAGTCATCTATAAATCAAATTCCAGAAAACACCTCGTTATAAGAGAATCAAACAGCTCTCCCCCAGCATCACCCTCACCTTGTCTAACATTGGTAACGGAGTGGTGAAAGTCTTTTCAAAATAGACAGTCGCCCACTCGAATTCCATCCCTGCCCAACACACGATGGCTCAGAATCGCTGCTACTATAATTCACAAATAATACATTCACACAGTCAAAAACATACAATTAAACTAACTACACCAAAATCAACCGCCATTGAAAATGGCTAAAGAAATGTACGAAAGCGCTTGGGACACTCGACGATATAGACAGTTTTTGTACTCGCTCACTCCCGCCAAACAGAAACATTTTTAAATCGCTGGAAAAACTGAATAAAAAAAAATTGATAAAATTTTTCTTGCCCGTCATATTTTACGAAAAATCTTTAAAAAAGAAAGGTTGCTACCCAAAAGTTACATTATATATAATATATATATATATATATATATATATATATATATATATATATATATATATATATATATAACTCAGTAAATATTTTAATATAAATGATCAAGTCATCGTCGGACGTTCCGTTTTTATATATATATAGGAACATAAATAATTAATTAAACAAATTTATCAGGTTCCGTTTTATATATTCTTTAATTATTTAATCCACAATTTTTTTCAGTGCGAAGTTTGAACGCAAACATTGTGAACATCGGCCCAACAACAAATCTATTTTACACATCAAATATTTTTCAGCCTACCCACCTTCAGTGATAATACACTTAACCCAACTTTTCTCCATATATTACATTGGTCAGATATTATACAGAGAAACTTTCAGATAATAAAGTCAATTATCCCACAACCGTTGTCGTCCTTTTGCCTGACTTCACACATCAGCGAAATGATGAATCCCTTTAAAATACGACGCATGCGCAGCTGTGTACACAGACGGTAATCTTAACCAAGTTATCGCCATCAGCAGTGACATACAATATAAATAACCGATGATAAAATTAGTGTTAGTTTCACTGCGGCTATTATTTCATCAAATGAGGCGTTTGATTCGATGAAGAAGCTGACGTCTTCTGCATTTTATTCTTTCGCATTCACACGAGGTGTCTTATGACAGGATCCGTACGTGATATGATTGCGCTTGCAGGCTGTCAGCACTCAAATGTTGGATATGCGATGGTAACTTCATATTGTAACCACAGAAGAAGAAAATAGATTTAAATAGAATGGACGTCATTATTTATATCTTGAGGGGACCCTTTCGGCCAACACTTTATCAAAAGTTATCGTTATCGAGCAACAGGAAACAATCAAAAGCACATTAATAAATAACGAATGACGAGGGACAATTGGAATACGATTAAAATAGATTTTAATTATAAATAAATAAACGGCTAAAAACAAAATACGAAGTTTCAAAAAGAGCATAAAATGAAAAAAAAAGTTACTAATAATCCGTCGATCAAACGTAAGGAACAAATAAAATGTTCCTTTTTAATGACGCATTTTTTTTTTTCATTTTACATAGTTGCTCACTCGGTTCGCCATCTTTTTGATGCTGTTTAGATTGTTTCATCAGTCGAACTTATGTAAACAAAAGGAACATTTTATTCGTATTTTGCTTTTAGTCGTTAATTTAGTTGTAATTAAAATCTATTTTAATCGTGTTCCAATTCCCCCCCACCTCATTCGTTATTTATTAATTGTCTTTGATTGTTTCCTGCTGCTCGACAGCGATCACCTTTTGAGAAAGTGTTTTAGCCAAAGGTCCCCTCAAGATAAAATAATTCGTACATTCTAAAACACACACACACAAACAAACATACAAATATATATATATATATATATATATATATATATATATATATATATATATATATATATATATATATATATATATATGTTAGGGATCTTACCCATAATAATAATGGACTATTCCATACTTAATAAATACCGCGCCTCTGGAGTAGGCAAGGAGTGAGTCCGTAGTTCGAGTGAGTCAGTAGTTCAGTCGAGTGAAGAGTCGCGTTCAGACAATTACTGCAAGACATTGGAATAGTGATACTGGTCGAGACTACATTGTTCTCCTACTAAACCTGATTGTTCATACTAACACTTCTATGTATATATTCCTGTTTGTAATATATCTGTGTTATTCCATACCTGTGTTCGAGTTCTTCTTTATTGGTTCTACCTTGGACTACCACCGTGGTACAAGGAACCGGACCATAACAATATATATATATATATATATATATATATATATATATATATATATATATATATATTTTGAGTTGAACAAAAGTTTGTGGAGTTATTCAAGTAAATTTCAAAGACCATATTTAGATTTTTGTAAATGGATTTATGTGCAATTTTGTTCAACGACCTTTCACTATCTTTGACGTAGATTCATGATTCTCTTTTCCTACAACTTGACATCTTTCTGAATGCTGAATTGGTTTAAGTGTCTCTCACATGCTTCCTGAGAATTGAAGTTATTCCCATTAAGGGAATTTTTAAGGGTCAAAAGAAGAATATATATATATATATATATATATATATATATATATATATATATATATAACTATATATATATATTATGCATATTATATGTATTATATATACTTGTTTTAAATATATATTACCGTTTAAATTATTTTCAGGTTGAGTGTATCTGTAAGGAACAAAATAAATAAAAAGACGATGAATAACTATTCTTAGTTTCATTCTCTGATGGCATTTATCAGGGCAAAAGTAAGAATTTATTTTGTTGCATGTGTTTATATACTAGAGAAGAGATGTCATTGGTTCATGAAGGCTGAAATGTCAGTCAAGACATTTGGAGGACATTTCTTGTTCTGGTAGACAGGAGTTGTGTATTTCTTTATAATGTTTCTAAGAGAAAATTCGTTTTGCTTATATAACATATTTGATTCTTATAGAAAATGTTAATATTATTGTTTTTATCTGTATGTTCAGTATTACTATTAGTTACTTTAGAAAGAAATAGTCTAAGCTGGTGATCGATGATGTAGTTCGGAAAGCCATTGTTAACTAGCGCCAGTTTCACATTTAAGGAAAAGGTAACGAAAGGGTGAATTCTCGTATGGTCTCTTGAGACAATTTTTTCTAACTACTATTTTATATCTAAGTGGGCATTCACCTATAAAATTAATGTGGCAAGAGTTTCTGCTGTTGTTTTTTATGTACAGAAAAGAAAACACTTATGCGAAAACAAGAAAAATTAAATAAAAAGCTTAATCGCAGTCAGTCGTCTTTAATAAAACTTGTATTAATATATATATATGTGTGTGTGTGTGATTTTCTTTTAGTATCTCTTCAAATTCACAATAATTTGTATCCAAAGCTCAGATCTCCTGAATAATTATTATTAGTGATCGTTTTTTATACTATTTCCCAAGAGGGCGTACGCGATGATGGCTCTCTGCAGATTTCCTTTTTTTTAATCTCTAAATTCTGAAAGATTATGACGTCGTTTTCTGTTTCTTTTTCCATCGTCTGGGATTCATCGTTTTCACTCTCTTAGATTGGTTGTACCCCAAAAATAGAGAGCCCAGTCTACCCTGATATTTAACCCATAGGCGGAGCAGAGGACGGCCATATTTTCTCAAAGTCATTTATGCGAAAGTAAACATAACAAACTAGCCTGGAATTTGAACCCGGCTTGACGGGTTCATTTTCCGTGTCGATATCCGTTACACTACCCGTAAATCCGTTAATGAGCTTACCGTGTATAATAATATATTATTAGCTCATTAATTTTAGGTGCATGTAAAAAAAAATTCGTAAGAGTCTCTATCCATTAGCTGGGTAGAGTTTCCTTCGATGAAAATGTGTCTATGTCACAGTCATATCCACTGTCGTCTGTTGACAACAGGTGTGGATTTGATAACGAACACTAAATAGACAAAAGTCTAAACAGAATCTCAGCCAATCAGTTAAGCAAAAAGTCTTAATGTTACTAGCAAAACAGAAAATAATGAAATTGGCTGAGAACATTAATTTTCATTTGAAATTGAAATGTGAAAGAAAAGAAAAGGGATATAATTGGCAAAGATATTCACATAATAACATTCTAGGCAGGCATTTTGGTATCCGTTTACCGTCTTCTGAACTTGTCATCAGGCAAATTAAAAACCGTCGCTGCGGTAACATTTCCAGATACGTAGGGCTTCTTTCTCGAAATGCATGCGACGCCATATTGGTTATTTGTGGAAGAAATTAAATGGAAGAGAAATAAAAAATAGAGATACAGTAAGAGAGTAAGAACAATAGAAAATGATTCAAAACTAAAGAGATAGAGAAGCAGATAGTGATAGAGAGGAAAAGAGGAATACAAATGAGACCTATGCTTGAAAAGGAGAGAGAGAGAGAGAGAGAGAGAGAGAGAGATACAAGGAAAGAGAATTAGAAAAGAGACCCATTCTCGAACAGAGAAAAGTAGAGAAAAAGAGAGAGAGATAAAGCGGGAAAGTGAATTAGAAAAGAGATCCATTCCTGAACAGTGAGAAAAGAAGAGAGAGAGAGAGAGAGAGAGAGAGAGAGAGAGAAAAATGGCAAAGAGAAAGAGTGAGAGCCATTCCGGACCAGAGAGAGAGAGAGAGAGAGAGAGAGAGAGAGAGAGAACTGAGAAAAAGAGAGAGAGAGAGAGAGAGAGAGAGAGAGAGAGAGCGAGAAACTGAGAAAGAGAGAGAGAGAGAGTAAAAGTCATTCTGGACCAGAGAGAGAGAGAGAGAGAGGGAGAGAGAGTGAGGGAGAGAAAGAAGAGAGAGAGGGGAAGTGAGGAAAAACAAGAGAGATAAAGCAAGAGAGAGAGATAGATAGAGAGGAAAAGTGAAAGAGAGAGAGAGAGAGAGAGAGAGAGTTGGGGGTAATTATAAAGAGGTCGCAGAAAGTTTTCCTACTTCCATTTTGGACATTGTATTTCTTTGTGTAGGATAATGTTTATATTTAATTACTAACTTCACCAGCTCTGTTTGTCTTAATTAATGTGGAAAAGAATTTGGTGATTATTGTTTGAATTTATTTTGAGGATTTAAAGAAACTGGGACGCTGGAATATGAATGGTTTCATACTGAATTTGAAAATCGAAGAACTCAGTAGGCGGAATTTATTTAATTGAGAGTTCGTACAATTGTTGGTCGCACTGAATATTGAAGAATAGTAGGAGGAATGCAAAGAAAACGACGAAGGAAAGGAGATAGGAGTGGTAGTATTAGGAAGAGGAGGAGGATGAGGAGAATAAGGAAGAGGATCAAACGGAAAAGGGAAGCAGATGTTTGACTAAAAAAAAAAACGATGCAGCAGAGCAGGAGGAAGGGGAGTAGCCAAAGGAAAATGAAATGACGGAAGAAGGAGAGTAGGCGTGGAATCAAGAAAATGGGATGGAAACAGAGATGATGATGAGAGAGAAAGAGAGAGAGAGAGAGAAATGAGAGAGAGAGAAATGAGAAAGAGAGAGAGAAATGAGAGAGAGAGAAAGAGAGAGGGAAATGAGAGAGAGAAATGAGAGAGAGAGAAATGAGAAAGAGAGAAAGAGAGAAAGAGAGAGAGAGAAATGAGAGAGCGAGAGAAATGAGAGAGAGAGAGAAATGAGAGAGAGAGAAGCATAAAAGAATGGGAAAAAAGGAAGATGAGAAAGAGGGGAAAGCAGGGAAACAATCTTAAGAAATTGCCGTCTTTAACAAAGATTAAAGCTATCATAAATATCTTTAAGCTGATTATCAGCAGTAGACTTTTTGGGACTCTCGCCCTCTCTCTCTCTCTCTCACACACACACACGCACACACACAAACACACACACACACACACACATATAAATATATATATTTGGTTGGATAGATGTGAGTTTGTGACCCTGATCGTCACGTTTTCTGACGATCGTCAGGGTTGGGTCTGACATCGCTATCCAACCAAATATGTTAGTCTCTCTCTGATATTGAGCGCTTTCTAATAAGTACCACATATAATATATAAATAATTATACATATATATATTTATTTATATTTATATACACTTTTCACACACACACACACACACACACACACACACACACACACACACATATATATATATATATATGTATCTTTTGGGCAATATACAATCCTCCACATATGTCAGATGACATGTCCAGCGCATTTGATTATGGAGAAGTAGTTTATCTATGCTGGCTCAGTTTGCGTACGGAAAGACTTTTGTGTCTGGTGTAGAAGACTGCCAATTGATGTCCAAGATTCGTCTCAGGCATTGCCGGCGAAAGCGCTCTAAGACTTTAATGTGCCTTCGATAAGTCGTCCAAATGGCGGAGTAAATTTCCCCTTAAGTTTTGGCAGGTTGTTTTTTTTTTGTTTTTCTTTATTAATTAAGTTTTTGATTGTTTTAGATGTAGTTGTGACAAATTTTATGTTGACTTTAGATAAATTCTTTTCGATTGTAGTTGTGATAGAGTTAGTGGGTAGAATAATATATTATTTTGATTCGTTGGGTTTGTCAGGAAAGACAGCTTTTCTATTTTGGAATGTTTTATGAGTCTTTGGTTTCGCATTGAATATAAAATAGTTAGGGTATTGAAGGGTCTTGAAAGTATTTTCAATATATTTCTCCTCTTTGTATAAATACTGAAGGCTGCAAATTCTGAGTGCTCTTAAACAGAATCCAATGATAATTCCGGATTTTATTGTTATGATGAGAATAGAAGTTAATAAGGTTTTTGGTTAATTTTCGGTGGACACTAAATTTTAGGCTGTTGTCAACTCGGTGTAACATAATGTCTAAAAAAAGGTAAAGTATTGTTTTTTTCTATTTCGTATGTAAATTCAATTGTGTGTCCGTCTTTCTTTAGTTTATCTACAAGATCCGGTAAGTTATTATCACGGGGATATATTAATAGAGCATCATCAATATATCAAAAGTTGATAGTTTAGGTAAAATGTTTTGGAATGAACCAAACTACAGAAATTCGAAGAAAATACATGCCATCATTCCACTGAGAGGTGATCCCATTGGTAATCCAAATTTTGTTTGTAAAATTGTTATTGAATGTGATATAGCATTGATTAGTGATGAGACGTAACAACATCAATAAAGCTCAGTCTGATGAAATCCTAACCGATGAAACGCGTCACAAAAACTTTCTTCCAATTTGTCAGACTATTTTTCTCTCTCTGTCTTGCTCTCTCTCTCGCTCTCTCTATCTGTCGTTTTGTCTCTCTTGCTTTCTATGAAACAGTTGTCATGCATACACGCACACGCAGCATTCACTTACGCGCAAAAATCCATTTAATCTGCCCTTACCTATGGCTTAAATAGTAAAACTTGTATCTGGACAATTCATTTTTATCCCTATATTCATTAGCAAAAAAAAAAAATTACAATCCATAATGTTTCAGCTTTAAATAACCCGAGGAAGACAAAAAATCATATCCGCTCTGCTCATAATTGAAACTAAATCAAGCGAGGACATTACTCTGAAAACGAGTTGAAGCCATTATATATATATATATATATATATATATATATAGAAAAGGGAGATAATCTAAATGCCCAAATAAGCAAATAATGAAACTAATTATGCTTCAACATATAACTCCATGATTAGAGAAAATAAGGAAGAAATATAAATTTAACAGGTTTTGCTTTTATTTACGCTACATCTGAAATATTGCGAAATGAGTTAAAGAAGACAAAGTTCTGGGAGATGAAATTGTTGAAGCTTTCTTGGTTTGTTCTGCATTCTTGATCTGTTTAATCTATTGTAGGTTTTATTTTATTTTTGTTTTCTCAGTGGTTGATTCCAGTATTTTTTTCATCGTGAGCTAGGATTCTAAGTCGAATAAAGTTTTTCTTCGAACACTCTGAAGATCGCTTTGCACTTGACACGGTAAAGTTCCGCGTCTCTACAGTCTTCAGTATACATGCATAAATGCATATATATATATATATATATATATATATATATATATATATATATATATATATATACTAAAATAATAAGGAAGAACAGTAAGATTTATAATCCGGTGTTCTTAGCAGTTATTTTTATTTTGAAGAAACAGTGCTCAATACAAACAGTAGAGCAAAATATTATAATTATTTTAATTTTTAAAAATATGATTTCATCGCGACACAGAAAATTTCCATGTTTCAAAACTAAAACTAAATTTATAAATTTAATTATAAAAATTAAACTTAAAATCCATAGTGTCGTATTCCTATGATCCCTCGACAATTCAACCAAAATGAATTTCAACAATTGTTGTCTGATCTCTAAAGATAGATGGGTTCTATCATTATCTTTAATGGTTAGGCAAAAAAAGGGCCTAATATTCTAATTTGAAGCTTTTTAGCAGTTCAATTTGTCTAGTTTTGGAGCAATACTTGTCTTTATCATGCTAATTTCCGGAAGAAAATCTTGTTGTAGAGGAGTATCCTTCCAATCCCAGCATATGCACAGCACCACCTTAGTATGATTAGTAGTTATTCATATAACTTGCCACTGCCATCTCATCCGCTCCACGTTGTTATAAAGTATCCACTTTTCATACCAGCTGTAATTTATTTCAAAGATGTGATATTTAAATATGTGCAAGTAGAGTATTTTTATGTGAGAGCCACACATCAACGTAACCAACGTAAGTCAGTGTAAATGATTTTCAAGGTATCACGCTTTTGCGCGCGCACACACAAAACACACACACACACATATATATATATATATATATATATATATATATATTAGAGGAAATATACTCTAGTCTGATGAAATCCTAAAGGACGAAACGCTTTTCACGAAAACTTTTTCATTTTACCACAATTCTTTCGCCTGAAATTGTTCTTGAAATATAAAAATGTATATATGGTTTTCCCAATATATATATATATATATATATATATAGAGAGAGAGAGAGAGAGAGAGAGAGAAAAAGTGAGAGAGAGAGAGCGTGCGAAGGGTAATTTGTCGCCATTATATATTTTTAATTTCGCGCATGCGTTCTTTGTTTTTGATTTTCTCGACTGCACAGTATAGTAGGGTCAGTCTATGAGAAAAAAGAGCATTTCCCTCCGCCATAAAATTGGAAACGGCATGCTGTACCGCTTGGCATTCGCACCAGAAGCTTTAATACGAACATTTCAGTGTGTTTGGGTGTTAACCTAAGGACACTGCAGAGGATTCGGAAAGAGTTGAATGTATCTGTGATTAAGAAGGTACCGTATCTCGAAAAAGTCACTCTGATTGTTCTGATAAGAAAAGAATTCCCGAATTTGTTGGAGAGAGAGCCTCAGACTGAACACGGAAGTCTACATCAATTGCCTTGAGGAATAAATACTGTCATAAGTCAAAAGGGGGATGCTGGAAGACCCTATATCTGGCAACAGAACACTGCACTATATCACATGTCAGACAATTTCTGCGACCACATCACCACTTACAACTGGCTACTTAACTCCTCAGATTGCAACCTCCTTGATTATTGTGTGGGGCACAGTTGAGCAAGAGACCAACAAAACTCCTTGTAAGACCAAAGATGAACTGAAGGAAAGGATTATTGCAGCATTCACCAATTTAAACATGGTGACCGCCCAGAAGAGTTGCAGAAGAGTTCGAAGTCGTCTGGAGGCCGTGGTTGAGCCAATGACGATTTTATTGAATAAATTTACTTAGTATTCAAGATATTTTTGTGCAATTTGGTAAATATATCTGTAAAAAATGAGATATCAGTATTATTTAAATTTTTACGTAATTTAGACGACAATTTATCAATCGTACCATATATATATATATATATATATATATATATATATATATATATATATTCTGTTTTTTACGTTTTTTATACACTTATTTGAATAAATATTCTCTTTTTTTTATTAAACAGTATTAATTACATTTACGGGCCTGAATGTTCGAAAAATTTCGTAGAAAATATGCATTCTCCGACAGGAATCGGACCTGTATCCTATACAGAACCGTCATTAAGCCTGACGTGCTATGAATGTTTAGCCACAGAGAAGCCCCCGTTAGCAAAGCTCGAATTACTGCTTTTAAACACACACCTTCGCCGATTTTGCTCGATCTATCATATCTGCTCTGATCTTGTAGCCTAACGTAAACAATGACAACATATTATATGAGATGAATTAAATCCAACAACTATTTTAATATATTTTGTTTATAACTGGAAGTTCTTGTGGCTGAACGTATTGGATACAAGTTCGATTAATGTTTGATTAAAAACAGTGCATTTACTCAAATAAATGTATCCCTAAAAACGTATAAACAGAAAATATATTAAAATATCTGTTGGATTTAATCCATTTCATATATATATATATATATATATATATATATATATATATATATATATATATATATATATATATATAGCATAATGTGAAACCACGTATACTTTCTTAATATGTAAATATAGAAAAAGTTTCAAATTAAAAATTATAATGTTTTATTTTATGAAAGTACTTATTTATTTATACATATATTTGATATTTCAAATTGTCCTCAATTTTCATCAGAAATAACTGTTTTGTTACAAATAAATTAAAATTACTGTTTGTTAGCAAGTAGCGTCCTTCGCGAGACGCGGACGTCACGTGAT